GCGGCTGCTGTGCCGCGTAGTTTCTCTTTCTGTGTCTTCTCCTCGACAGCCACTTTCTCTTCTTTGGACTTTTGCAATTATTGCTGCTTTGGACAGAACCAAACCTGCGAAGGAACACTTGCTTGCTTCCAAAAGAGTACGCTGCTGTTGCTGCTGCTGCTGCTGTTGCTGCTGCTGCTCCTGCTGTTGGTACTGCTGCTCCTGCTGTTGGTGCTGCTGCTCCTGCTGTTGCTGCTGCAGCTGCTGGTTTTCACGCCGCGTGCGCCCGCAGCTGCGGCGCAAGGGAATGCAAATTAAGAGCTGCTGAGCATTGGAGAAGGCCCGTGTGAAGGCTAGGGTTTAGGGTTTAGGGTTTAGAGTTTAGGGTTTTGTTGCGCATGCGACTGCCAGGTGAGGCGCGAGATGCAGGAGCTGTTTCGACTTTGCTGCTTCATCGGCTCCCGCTGCTTCTCCCACAGAGTGGGAGCAGCAGCAAATCCAAATGCTTTTGATGTAACTCCGCCGCTGCCACCTGCCGTGGATTTGCTGAACCAGGCTCTGGCTGTTGCTGCTGCTCCTGCTGCCGCTGCTGCTGCGCCTGCTGCTGCTGCGGCCACGGGAGACGCCAGGGAGGACTTCGCAGCGCACAGCGCTGCAGCAGCGCAGCCGCCCACCGCACCAACAGCAGCAGCAGCAGCAGCAGCAGCCGTGGCGCCGGCTGAAGGCATTGCAAGCAGCAGCAGCAGCAGCAGCAGCAGCAACGGGGAGGCCGCGCTGCTGCAGGAGCTGCGGCGACGTCTGGTGCTGCAGCTGCAGCCACCCTCCCTGCGGGCCCCGTGCTGCATTGCAGAAGCAAATAAAGAAATTGCCAAACGGAAGCTTTTAGCTGCTGTGGCTTCTCCCACAGACCCTGAAGAAGTTGCTGCTGTTTTTGGCCTTGCTGCGCTGCTCATGCAGTGTGCAGATGTGCGTCTAGGGTTTAGAGTTTAGGGTTTAGGGTTTAGGGCTAGGGGTTGAGTTGTGGGTCCAGTTTGTGGCTTAACTTTTCACAAGTTCTCCGTAAGTTCTACGATTGAGCCCTTAGGGTTTAGGGTTTAGGGTTTAGGGTTTGGCGCGTGGGTTTGGCTGCAGCTGAAGCAGCTCAACAGAAGAAGTCCTTTGTCTGCTCTTTTTCTTCAAACCCTAACAGATGAGCTGCAGGGCAGTCTCGCCCAGGCCCTGAGCAGCGCCGCCCCGCAGGTGGGCTGATGCTGCTGCTGCTGCTGCTGCTGCTGCTGCTGCTAGTTTTGGCCTTGCGGCCCGTGCTGCTGTCGCTGCTACTGCTGCTGCTTGAGGCTCTGGGGGCCCCAGTCCAGTGTAGGCTCCGCTCTTGCTGCTGGTGCTGCTGTGCGCAGGGTTTCATCTCCCGCTATTTGCTGCTGTCGCTCTTTGAGTGGCTGCCGCTGCGGCTATTCCCAGGAGCAGCAGGGCCGCTGCGGCGGCTGCTGCTGGAGGAGCTGCAGCGGCAGCAAGTGCTGCAGAGCGACCGCAGAACCCTCAGGGCTTTGGGTGCTGCTTTGGGCGCAGCTCTGGCAACAGAAACAGCAAAGTTGGATGCCATCATGCCTCCCCCAAACGCCGGGGTCCCTAAACCCTAACCCCTAAACCCTAAACCCCAAGCCCTAAACCCTAGTTGCTGGGCCGCAGGCGGGGCGCCCGCAGCCCGCTTCTGCAAACCCTAGACCCTGAGAGCCCTTCTGAAGACACTAAGTAGCAGGCCTTCTTCTCAAACCCTAGGCCCTGCGCTCCAAACCCTAAACCCTGCGTCCTAAGCACCAAACCCTAAACCCTAAGCTGCAAACCCTAAGCCTTCCGCCTAGTATCAGCAAGTTGCGTGTGGCTCTGTTCGGGCTTTTGGCTCTGAGGGTGTGGTGCCATGGTTCAGCCTGTAGGGTTCAGCCTGTAGGGTTTAGGGTTTAGGGTTTAGGGTTTGGGCGCAGGTGTTTGTGTCTCGGGAGCGGGAAGCCTCTGGGCGAGTGGCCCACATGAAGCGACTAGCCTTTTTGCTGCTGGCAGCTCCCGAGGGTTTCTTTACTGCCCATGTGGCTTTGCTGCTGGAGAGACTCACTGAGGCGCTCAAACCCTCCTACCCTGCTGCAGTCTCCGTCGAAATCACCATTCAGGTCTGCTGCTGCTGCTGCTGCTGATGGTGCTGCTGCTCGTGGTGCTGCTAATGGTGCTGCTGCTCGTGCTGCTGCTGCTCGTGCTGCTGATGGCGCTGCTGCTGATGGTGCTGCTGCTGATAGTGCCGCTGCTGCTGATGGTGCTGCTGCAGCAGCAGGGCTGATGCTGCTGCTGTTCTTTCTATTCCTCCGGTGACGCTGGAGCTGCTGCTCTCCCTCTTGCTGCTGCTGCTCCAGCTGCTGCAGCGGCGGGGGGGGGGGGGGGGGGGGGGGGGGGGGGGGGGGGGGGGGGGGTGGTGGG